AGGCCAGCCCTCCATGGGCTGGCCTGGGCTCCAGAGAGAGCTGCCGGCTCTCACGGGTCCTGCGATGGCTGAAACAGAGGGAAAGAACCCAAATGCTTGTTTTGAGCGAGGCTCCCTTCCTCAGCAGACCAATCAGCACTTACCACCGTCTTGTAACAGCTGCTTGCGCTATTTAACTCAGCGTGAAGTATGAAGTTGTGCCAGCTGTGATGCAGTTTGCTCGTCTGGCCGGCTTTCTCGCCGTGGCACAGGTGGCACCGACTCCTCAGGATTCACAGTCAAGTGCCTGCAGCTGCACCTCCAGGGCCACACGGGTGCAGCCCACAGACCCGCTCTGGTGGCACCAGCACCCTCAGACACCCCAGCAGGACCGCAGGAGTCAGCTCGCACCCCCACCTTTGCCCTTCTGCCCCCGCCAGTCCAACAACAGGGCCTGATGTGACAGCTCCCTCCTCGGTGCTGTCCCCCAGCTGCCCTGTGACCGTGTTCGGGACAGAGCCCATGTGCAGTCCCGCTGTCCTCACCTCGGCAGAATGGGTTTCCAAAGTTCAGACAAAACCCCTGTGCTGCGGCTGTGAGTCGGCCTGCACTGTGGCCAGGGACAGATCAGATTTCTCTCACGCTCTATGTCGATTTTTCCGGTGCAGGATAATCTCTGCCATTCTACCCACTGGGAATAACTCATAATTATCTCCAAGGAGTCCCTTCCAGGCTCTCCTGGAGGGTCTCCCTCCCCATCCTGAAGCTGCCCAGGGAAGCCATGTTGGTGCATCCTGGGACAGAAGGGTTCTGAGTGGCCGCCCACTTCCATGTGGTCCCAAGGCCTGCGGACTCTAGGGCAACCAGTGCAGCTGCATAAACCCATGTGGCCATCTGTCCTGAGATTGCTGCACACATAAGAGACAGACTGGGTCTGGAAGACAGCACCAAAAGTGAAAAAGTGCTAGATCATAAGTAATTTTATATTGATTGATTGATTACATGTTGGATGATGTGTTGCATATGCTGGGTTAAATAAACTACATTGTCATGATTAATTTCATGTATTTACTTTTTAGAGTATAACTTCCAGAAAATATAAAATTACACATTGGCCAGGTGTGGTCGTGCATACCTGTGATCCCAGCTACTTGGGCTGAGGCAGAAAGATTGAAAGTTTGAGGCCAGCCTGGGCAACATAGTGAAATGCCATCTCAAAATAAAAAATGAAAAGGGACAGGGATGCAGTTTAACACTTCCTGGGTTTGATGCCCGGTACCACCAAAAACCGAAACATTACACGTTGCTCGCGTTATGTGTCCATTGGACGGTGCTGGACTCAGATTCAGGGTGAGATCGCAAATGCCTGTTAGCACCGTTTCCAAACGCTTTCCCACCAACCCTGGCAAGACCTGTAACTGGAGGTCTTGACAGTAGCCCTGAATTCCTTGACACTTTGTCCCCAGATGGGACTGGGGCAAGTGTGTAAGTTGTACTCCCTGCCAAAAGACGATGGGCACTCCTGAGTGCTAGTAGTGACTGACTTCACAGGGTTTCTTTTTTCTCAGATTCCTTTGAAGAGACGAACAAGGATAGAGCAGTGCCAAATTCCTTCTAGCTTAAAACCATACACCACTAACCTCACTTCGAAAGCTTTACACCATTACAACAAACAGCAATGCTAAAAAAGCACATGCGGTGGGCAGTGAGCTCTCCATCACCAAGGGCCTGGTTATCCCTTTGGAGGCCAAACTGAAGATATTTCACTGTCATCGGGTCTGGGAGAATATTTATGCTGTGCTTGGACTTGGGCCCAGGGACTGATTATGACAAAATTATCAATCTGGGTTGTGTTTTCAAGACCAGCGTGAGTGGAAACCCTGTTTATTTAAACTGAGATTATCTTTGGTTCACTGTGCTTATTACCTCTTATTAGTTTGAGAGATATGCTTCATTTCTCCTTTATAAAATATACGTGTTAAAGAAAGTACTCTCAGGAAGGCATGGGATTTGCCTCGTAATGACTGAGTAGCTTTAGTTTTTATTTTATTTATTTATTTTTGGTACCGGGATTGAACTCGGGTCCTTGCACTTGTGAGGCAGGTGGCGGAACCACTGAGCTAAATCCTTGGCCCTGACTGATTAGTTTTTGGAAGAGAACCTAAATCAGAACCCACATAACGGACTGAATGTCGCCCACAACCTGCAACATGGATTCAGTTTCTGGGTGTCCGAGGAGGAGACCACTCTGTTCTACAGGAGGGTTTTAATTGCCTGGGTGCCAGAGGCACCCTGCCTTCTCCCTGGAGACGTGAAACCCACGTACGCACATCTATGATAAGGGATCAGCAGCTCTGGGCCATAAGCTGCTTCCTCCCTTCTTGGATTCTCAGTTTTGAACATGACCACACTGGAAAATGAACAGAGGGAAAGAGCAGCTATGGGTTTTCAACGCTCTGTGTGAAGCCCGTAAGGATGAGGTGAGTCTAAGTTCAGGCCAATTTAGCTGCAATGCGGTCGGGGCACCCAGGAGCAGGGGCTCACAAATCCACAGCAGCCACGGCTGAGCCCTCGGACCGACGTCAGCACTGCTCCTCTATTTGGCTTCTATGGCCGAAGAATGGCAGCCACACTGCATGTCATAAAATCAGACACACATGTTGTTCAGGCACTGTGAACTTTGCTTTTCCGTCCTTTCCTTTTGTGGGAGGTGAGTTTTTAGGGAGACGCAGGAGCCGTCTCGTGCCCCGGCCCTGCAGTTTGAGAGTTGACAAGGTCTTCCTCCCGTGACGTGTTCGCCCGTGCGCAGTCCAGGAAACTGTGAAGCATAGAATTCACCTGGTGGCAGAGGGGAAACCAGGGAGACGCGGTGCACAGACACACGGCTGGCTGGAAAGATGGAGCAGAATTTGGGTGGCATGAGGATGCGGCTCCCGGCCTGTGCTGCTGGGACCGAGAGGACAGTGCTGAGCGATCTTGGGAGAGGAAACGAGCCTGACTGGCTGACTCCCAGCCTGCCTGTGAGACTCCTGTGGGCGTCTGACCCTCGGAACTGCAAGATGGAAACAGGAGAGGCTGGCGGGGGTGCCACGCCAGGGTGAGTGTGCCTTGTGTGAATGGCCTGGGGAGGGGAGCGCTTTAAACTGTAGGTCTGTGGCAGTTTGTTGTAGATCAAGGTCCATTTGCTGAATTCCACAGCTTTTTTTTCTAGCTGTGGCTAAAGACCCCCTGGGTCTGAGCTGTGGCTTCAGGTGAATGGCTGTAGTTGAGTCTCCCTGAGTTCCTGTGAGGGCCAAGGGGACCCACGAGGTGCCTGTCACAGAGCCAGCCACGCCCCTGTCACTGATGCCCCGTGTCTGTCTGGGACAGCACTGGCTGGAGTTGCTGCTGCACCGCTCCAGGCACACGGCAGGTGCTTGGTGCTGGTGTGCTGCATGCACCTCCACGGCTTGCCAGCCAGGTTCACATTCACCCAGTACTTGTGTTGGGAAAGGCACATTTGGGAAAAACAGGCAGTCTCTATCCTGGAGCTGGGAGGGTTTGTAGGAGAAAATTAGATAAAAAAGCACTGAAGTGCGATATTGCGCGATGCCCAAAGAGGGTGCTTTATCAGGTAGAAATGGACTGAGAGGGGCTGGGGATTTAGCTCAGTGATTCCAGCGCCTTGCCTTGCAAGCACAAGGACCTGAGTTCAATCCCTGGTACCCCCTGCTCCTCCCAAAGAAAATGGAGTGAGAGCCTTCGGGCAGAACAGGCCAGAGGGGTGTGATGGGGAGACGGAGCAGCCTGCAGGGAGGGGCAGAGCTGCCCAAGTGAGATCCGGACAGGGATCCGTAGCTGAGGTGGTTGTGCCCGTGCAGTAGGGCCTGGCTTCACGCCTGCGCTCGGATGCCACAAAGTTTGTTTCGCACGTAACATAGCAATGAGCTCAGGTTTACTCAGGTTGCGTCAGGGAGAGTGGTACGCAGTAGGCTGTACAGCCTGAAGCCTGGGGTGGAGATGGCAGAACTGGGCCTAGAGAGTTTTGTGATGATCTTCAGGTTTCAAGGAAAACACACATGGCTCCGTGAGGCCCCTTTTTCAGGGGTCCTAACACTTAGCATCTTTTGTAAAATGAATATTCCAGGCAGGACAGCAGGGACTGTGTGACAACAGACATGTGAGCTGAGGCACTTCCTGTCTGGTAAGGGTGGGGACCTTGGGAGCAAGGATGGAGGCCTGGATCCCGGGGTTCAGAGTGGAGGTCTGAGTTGTGGCAGAAACCTGCATCTGGAGCAGCACCTTCCTGGGGGTGGGTGGGTGGAGTGGATTCTTTTCTGCCGCAGCCAGGCTTTTGTTCCTAGGACCAAACACCTGACACACATGCTTTGAAGGAGGAAATGGTTTCTTTTTGGTCACAGTTTCAGAGGTTCAGTCCATGGTCAGCTGTCTTCACATGGCAACAGGTAGAAGGGTGAATGAAGCAAAGACGTTTGCTTTCTGGTGTCAAGGAAGCAGAGCCAGGGACCAGCCAAGAGAGGAAGGGTCAGGGACCCACACTGACCCCAAGATCAGCCTCCACAACCCTCCCAGACACAACCAGAGTGTGCTCTGCTAAAGCCAATCACACCAATGAGCTTAACAGTAAAACCTTCTCACTGCAAACTCTCAGTGGTGCCTAAGCAGGAGGTGGAAAAGATAACTTATTTCTCAGCCCTCAGAAAGAACTTTTCTCACAGGAACACTGCTGTAAACAGTCGTTCTGATATATGCAGCCGTGTGTCTGAAATCTAGTCTATTTGCTACTTTTTTGGTCTACCGAATATTTCACCATTAACTAGATTTCTGGAGATTAACTGTGTTAGCTTATCAAATATAAATTCAAGATTGTCTTGAGAATTAGAAGACGTCACCTAGCCCACTGGCTGGAAAACATTTCTATTTAAGAATGAATCAGTTGTTTTTAAAATTAGAATAGAACTTTATTTGTGGAATTAAGATTTTTATAAATGGCTTTATACTTTAAAATATGCAATAATTTTGACACAGTAATCTTACTATATATTTATCATATAAGATTTTTAAAAACAATGCCAAATAGCTTGTAATCAAAATGAATTGTGTGTAACTTGATATTTATATGGAATAACTTCAGCATTACAAATAAAAACTAAAACAAATACCATTTAAATTTGCATCTGTAATACAATTTTACTTCTGTAAAATGGACAAGAGGACACGAGCTAGAACGCAGGACCTGGGACTTCCAGGGACGCCTGGTGTCCTTGCTTTCTTACAAGGGGGTCCCTCCGCAGGAAGCCCTGAGACACCTTTCTGCTGAGGGCCTGGGCTGTGTCCCTCAGGCAGGTCCCTTGGGCAGGCGGTAGCTGCGCAGCAGCAGGGAGCTGTGTTCTGGCGCAGGTGCAGGGCAGGCCAGCATCTCCAGAGCTCCGAGGCGGGAAGAGCCCGCTTCCACAGAACAGCTTTCACATTCGTCCGGGCGCCGAGGACAGTTTCGGAACACACTAGCCCACGCCCACGTCGCCTTGACTCTGGGTGGTGAGACCCACATGCAGACACGTGCAGGCGCTCTGTGCACACTGTAATTTCAGACGCAGCCTCCATCGGGGTGGTCAGTGCGGACCCCTCCCTGGCACAGTGAGAAGCCGCTGCTGCTGTCATGTTCCACACAGCCCTCTCCGGGTGTCCGCCTCTCCAGAGCTCACCGCAGCCTGCCATGACAGCCAGGCGGGCTTCATGGGTCTCGGCTAACCGGGAAGAATCAATCAGGCGCTAGAGGTGGGGTCAGTGAGGGAGCAAGCGCGGCACCTGTGGCACAGATGCGGCCGGCCCTGCAGGTGCAGGCCAGGCCCTCGCCTGAGAGTGGCCCTGTATGAGCTCTCGGCGGGGACTTTGGGACCAAGGTTTGCTGCTGTCATCGGCACCTCAACCCAGTGCTGGGCGGGCTCACCATGCTCACCCTAACAGACGAGGGCCCACGGCCAAAAGCACTGTTTCAAGTCTCACGGAGCACTTGCACACATCCAAGAATGGTTACAATCATTGCCTTATCACCAAAATACCATATTAAGAAACAGGCTTAATTCTGTGCAAGAGCATGTTCTGAATAATACTCCAATACAGAGACGAAACACAGAAATACAATCTTGACACACCCCATCTTGCTAAGTGTGGTGGGACCTAGGATACTCCCACACCTAGACTCCCAGCACTCTGGGAGGCTGAGACAGGAAGAATGCAAGTCCCACCTCAGCTTGGGCAACTTGGTAACTTAATGAGAACCTTCTCGAAACAAATGAGAAGTGGAAAAGGGCTGGGAATGTAGCTCAACGCAAAGGCCTTGAGCTCAACCCCCAGTACCCACCGACCGACCAACCTTATCCTGCTCACTCTGCTTTGGACCGCTGACGTGTTCCTTCTGCACCTGTAAGTTCCTCACATTTCACTGCCACCAGGGCCCAGCACGGCGCTGCACTGTGTTGGACAGCGTTGGCTGGATTTGCGCCCTAGTCCGAGGGCTTCAATCTAGTGCTGGTAACTTCCACCTGTGGAGTTTCACCCAGAGGGCTCTGGATTTGGAACAAACCACCACTGTTTGCATAGTAAACAGTATTTTTTAGAAAGTGTAAGAAATGTGGTAACAAATTTAATACAAATTATGCATTTAGCTACTCTTTGGCTATTTTTTAAACGAATTTTTTTTTTTTAATGATAAAGTGATACAAAAAAATACAAAAGCACAACTACAGAAACGCGATTCACCTGTAAACATAATAAACCCTGTAAACATGGACTTTACTACACGCGGTGCAGCTGTGAGGGGTGACTGGGAAAGGCGAGTACTTGACCCGAACAGCTCAAGATTAGAAACGCCTTGTGAGACCTGGGGTTTGAAGGAGAAAGGCAAACTAACTCTGCAAAAACGTGCAGGTGAGGCTGTGCAGCAAGCCTGCAGCGCCCTCCGGAGGCAGCGCTGACTCTCCACCATCCAGGGCTGTGCTGACGTCTCGTGAGCAAAGCTTCATATTAATGAAAGCCTAACACTTTTAAAGTGAGGAAGTAAACAATTTTTCTGCAAGTCAATTGACTGAAAATATAGATAACAGTCTCCAAGGTTTTTCTAAAACTCCGGGTAAGGTAAGGTGCATTTAGGCAAGTCTACAAAATAATAAATAGCTTCATGGAAATACATTGTAGCTTACTCATTATCATTTTCCCCAAATTGCAGTTTTCCTTCTCAAAAAAGCACCCAATTTTTACACATAACACTTATCACAGACATTTCACAGTTATAATTTCAGTAGTTTAAGGAAGACCTGCCTGGCAAATCCTGTAAGACGTAAATGTTAAGGACAAAACTCACTGCTGCAGGCGCCGGGACTTGTGACCTCTCGCGTGAACTTACAGACCGGTGCAATAACTGTACGAAAGTACATTACTTAAAAGTGACTGAAGTACAGTAAAACTGTCATATTATTTCTTCTAACATTTTAATGGTTTTCTCCAATATCTGGGAAGAATCAGTGGCTGAGCTTTAATAGTTCCCTGGAAGATTTTAAGTCACAATTTTGTTTATAAAACTGTGGCAGCAAAAATACCACGGATTATTTGTAATCTAATCGACTCCGTCAAAACCCTGAGTGTTTTCGATCGCCATCTGAAGCTTATCCCATAGTTCCTCAAATGACCCATAGGGCGGCAAGTCCAAGCGATTGAAGCTGAAAGAACAGAGAGGGGCAGTTAGGATGCACAGCAAGCAGATTCCCGGGGGAAGTTGGGGTGCCTCACTGGGACCCGCCCGTCCCACCTGGACCTGCACACATCTGCCTCCTCTGCCATGCGGCCTCCGGGAGGGAAGCCCCGCCCTCCGGGGACAGCCACACGTGTGGCAGAGGGAGCCTGACCCCGCATGGGCTTCCCACCTGAGGCCCGGCTTGAGCCCAGGGCCTCGAGACTCCTGCTCGGCCCAGCGCGGCACGGAGGGGCTGACCCTGCCACCACTGGACTAACAGAGGAGGCGTGGCCCTTGCGTGCTTACCAGGTGTGAGCCCTGGGCAGCTTCTCTGGGGTACCCCACTGCTCCACCGTGAAGGGCTGTGGGCCATTAGAGCCTGGAAGGAGAAGGGTTCCTGGTTTCCTTTGCCCTGCTTGCAGCCCCCAGGCTTTTGAAAGCCGCTCTGCTGTGTGGAACTCAGACACACAGGGACCTGACCGGGTCCTTTAAACCCTAAAGAAATGAAGGCTGCCCTGTGCCTCTGGGTGAGGAGCGTTGGTTTGTCCTGTGGTCTGTGCATGCCCTGTCTCCTGCCCAAGTGGGAGCCGTGGAGGATGCCCTTCTTGGCGCCAGTCCTGGACACAGCGGCAGTTTTATACATGATTTCCTGTGAGCGTTCTCTTTCTTTCTTTGAGTTCCACTGAAAACAGCTTTAACTCTTTTCTGACTATATAATGTCATGATAAACATCATAGTCAGAATAAAACATAATGAAAGACGTAAAAATCACGTCAAACTCTGCCACACAGTCTGCATCAAAACTGGTCATGAATCTTTTCTGAGCACGTGTGTGTTCACAGAGAGAATTTGGTGTGCCTGTGTCATGTTACACCGTTTACATTTCCTTCATCATGGAGGTGTTTAGAAACTGTCTCTTTTTTCCTCCAGCAATTTCACTTAGCTCTTCCTTCTCTAACCCTAATGTCTTCCAACCACCAGATAACTGATGTTGACAACCTATCTCTAGTTTTCTACATTTTTCACGTCTATAATCACATCCAAATGTGTGCCTGTGTAATTGCCAGAAGCAGTCCTGAGACATTTAATATTCTTAATCTTAAAGTTTTCTCAAAAGAGTAACTTTTCACAAACCACGCATCACAATTATGTTCACAGCTGAAATCTCAGTACTTTTGCCATAACATAGAATCCTATAACACATATTTCTCTGCCTTCTGACTTTTTTACCTAAACAATATTATGAAAACTCTAAGTTGATGGATATAAACTTCACATATACTTTACTTGCTATATAATACTACATTGTGATATGAGCACCTTAAAGCAACTGCTACTTCTTTTTTATGTACTACATAAAAATTGGAGTTTACACTTTAACCCAAATAACAGTCTGCGTGCGTGGCTTTTTCTCCCAAATTCCAAACAGTTCCTGAATCCGTGGAGGCTGCAGACCCGGGTTGAACAGAGAGGCAAAGTAGAGCTGTGGAAGGGGGGGTCCTTTGGCTGCCCTGCTGATTTCCTCTGCTAACTGGCTAAGAAGGTGAAGGGAGGCGAACCCTGGAGAGACCAAGGCTAACGCTCCAGTAGGCCAGGAGTGAGCTGGCCTTCAGCCAAGCTCAGAACCACCACAAGTGGGGACTCCTCAGAGCAGCCAGCCGCTCGCTTGACAGGTTGTGCAAACGTGTGAACATGGCTCGTGAGGAGGTCAGTGTTCCACAGCGAAGCTGGGTCAGCAGCCCCCCAGGCCGCCCAGCTCTTCCAGCATTAAAAAGCAGCTTAGCCCCTGTGTACCATCCCTGACTTCCAGTTCCCAGAACAACTCTAAACTTATTTGTTGCTTTGAGTAGGGCTCTGACTTTCGCTACACCTTTGCCTAAAGAGTTGTTCTTGGTGCCAGGTGTAGTGGCTCATGTGTGTAATTCTAGCACTTGGGAGGCTGAGGCAGGAGGATCTCCACAACTGTGAGGCCAGCTTGGCCTACACTGTGAGTTCAAGGCCAACCTGACCTACATAGTGAGACCCTGTCTCAAAAAAACAGAGTTGTTCTTGGTATCTTTTAAAACAAGAAAATGCCATTCTACTAAACAGAATATTAACCAACATTAGAAAAACGGCTATGACTTACATCAGAAATAACATTTCTTTAAAAACCCAACACACTTCTAATGTGTCCATCTATCAGAAAATAACCTAACGGGACACAAAGAATTCCACTGCACAGAACGCTTGCGCTGACTGGTTTGGATACCAAGAGGCATCTCTTGTGTCTGTGCAGCCTGCCCCTGAAGCCTGCCAACTCTACAGGAATTGAGAAAGCCTAATGAGATTTCCTATCCACAGCTCCCACCCCCAAAGAAAACACATTCCAGCATCAAGTGAGTTTTGGAGACTCTGCTTTAACATTTTTTTAACAGTGAGTTTCTGAATGAGTCCCCGAGAATCTACAGAGGTTCCCCATTACCCACAGGCTGCAATCTGAGGCTGGGCCCCGCAACAGTGAGGGGTCCCCAGCCTGCACGCTTCCTCACACACCCACAAGAGTCTGGCTTCTAAATGGGGGACAGTGTGGTATCAACAAATAGAGTGAGTACAACAACATATTGTAACACAAGCTCCACAGGCGCTGTCTCTCTCTCAAAGCAGCCATTAACACTATCAGCCTGGCTGATGGCAGGTAACTAATTGCAGAGTGAGAAGACTCTCGGGTCAAGGGCCACTGAGATTTCCTTCAACCCAGCTTTCCATAGATGCACCCAACAATGATACTTTGTGGTAATGTCCTACAGGCACAGAGTGCTGCCCATGCCAGGGGCCTGTAGGTGACCCTTTTCAGTCACACAGTCACCGTGGGGACAGACCTGGAAGTTCAGTAACAGAAAGCAACCCAGGCTATGTTCCAGGGGTCTCCTTCAATCTCGGATTAGAAGGCATAGATATGCTTTTGTCCGTTTCAGGGCTACCCAGTCATATTAACAATCTTAATTCTTTTTAAAAATTAAGTTAAGCACATTAAGATAAGTGATAGTAGCTTGAAGACTGATCAGCCATGAAAAAGACAGTTGGCATGGCTCTATTTTTTATTGATCTAAGGAAAATCCTTACCATACAGTTCAGCGAATCCATTCATAGGCACACGGGAAGTACCAGTGACAAACTGAAGTAATCGTATTCTTTTTTCAGAATCCATCATCAAAACAGCCTAAGACAAAAAGCTTCCTTTAGAGAATACTGGGAAAAAGGTACAAAAGTTATCCTGAAAAATGTGCTATCACAGTGTAGTTACAGCATTGTTAATCACTAAATTTGCATGTTCTTTGGGCTAACTATGCCTTGGTGGGTGGTTGATAAAAGTTCCTCCAAAAGACCCTTTCCAAGGCTGCAGCGCAGCTGAAGGGACCACAGAGCGGGACCATAGCCTACTGAGGTAACAAGACTTTCTTTTTGGACGGGATTCGTGGCTTTTTAAAAATCGTGTCTGCTGTCAGTGCCGAGGGCACACACGTTCTCTGTGCAGAGACACACGGTAGCCGCAAGGAGCCTGGGAACATGGCTGTTTGCTCACGAGCTCGGCAAGGCCCTCTGCCCGGGAGGGCCAGAGCAAAGCAACATTTGCCAGGCTCAGTGTTTTGCTCAGGGCGCGCGAGCGTGGCATCAGAGCACGCAGTGGGCTTTAACCCGGCCCTGAGCGGTCTGTGGGCGCAGCAGCGGCAGCTACCTTCCAGAGCCACTGGATGACTTGGTGGCCCGCGCTGTAGCCATTCTTGTATTTGGTGTGTTCTCGCCAGTCGTTCACGTCCACGTCTCCCAAGCCACACATGAGAAGCTACACAGTGGGAAATGTGACAAGACCATCAGCAGGAAAAATAACACGCGCATAGCACTCCCATCCCGACCTCATCGTATGTCTTACCTCCAGTTCATTTTCATCAAAAATTTTGATGAGGTCCTGTGGTATTAGTTCAAAAAACCCCTGGTAGAGAAAAGACCATTTAGAAACGGTTAGGGGCTCTGGGACACTTGTACTCTGCCTCTGGGTGCTGCTACGGGAGTCTCACTGGCTTAGACGTTTACACAGCTTGGGGCCCTTCACTGGGATCTCACGCGGGCGACAGCATGTTTGCGTGACGTCTGTCCCCTGTCTGAAAAGCCCCGCGTGGCCCAAGACTCCTCCCCTTCGCCCCCTGCACGGCAGGCAGGCAGGGAGCGTCTGTCCCGCTGCGACCTGCGCCGGCCCTGCGACAGCACGGAACAGGGCGGCC